GTTACTACTACTACTACTTCAGCTACTCCTAAAGCTTCTCCCGTGGTTGCTGCTGCTGCTTCAGTTGTTCCTACCACTGATCCGCTGCAACAGGAACAACAATCGCAGCAATCAAAGACGGTCGTTGCGGGTCCAGCAGCTGTAACANAGTTGAATGACTCTCTGGACTCGCTCTTTGGCGACCTCTCAGTTCCGCCGCCCAAAACTGTCGCCGATCCGAATGACTCGCTGGCGGCGATTATGCGCAACAAGGCGAAGCTCAACTCGAGGCGGACCTCCACGCGGAAGAGGCCCTCGCTCAAGCCAGGGCAAATACTGTCGCCTTCGGGTGAGGTTCCGGATAGTGTTGGTCCTTCCACTTCTAATCCTGAACCAGATCCTGAACCAGAAGCTAAAGCAGCTAGTCAGCCTGAAGTATCTTCAGCGGTACAACAGTCATCATCATCACCAGCACCGCCTCTGGAACTGCCCACGCCACCGTTTGTGCCTCCAACGGTGGCCCCGAGAAACTTGCTGCCTCCTACTAATGACCTCCAGCCAACTCCTTCACCTCCTCCACCTTCAAGACTGACACTGTCCAGCACTGAAGACGAGAGTGACGATGACCTGTTTGCGACGGCGGCTGGAAGGCCAAGTGCCGGCAAAGCTGTCAGCAGCAGCAGTATTCCCAGCAAAGCAGTGGCCGGCAGCGAACCAGTGACTTTCAATCAGGCGGGACAGACTTTTTCTAGCACGCCCTCTAAGCCTGACATAGTGGCAGCAGCAGCGGCAGTTCCATCAAGTCCACCGAGCAGTCAAGTTGCCGCAGCAGCAACAGCAACAAAACCGTCAGCCTCGTCCTTTCTCCTCGACAGCTCAGACGACAGTGATAATGACATCTTTGGTGCTTCGGTAACTTCCACTCCAGGCAAGTCCACCGCTAGGCCGTCACCACTTGCAACCTCAACAACAACAACCACAACAACAGCTTCAAGCATCTCCCGAGCGCCCATTTCCCTCTTCTCCGACAGTGAGGAGGAAGACACTGACTTTCTCTCAGCCAGTCTGAGCAAGGAGAAGGAGAAAGCGGAGGAGGTTGCTGTGCCTAAACCGACGACTTCCGCCACCACGACGGCGGCGGCAAGAAACCTGAAAAAGAGCATCTTTGATGATGACAGCGACAGTGATGGTAAGCAAGAGCTTGAAATACAAAAAAATACTGAACCACTAATATTTTGTTCCCACGCTTTTAGATTTATTTAAGTAGGCAGATGACATCCACTTGGAAACACAATGCAGATGATGGAGATGATGATGGTGATGGTGATGAAGATGATGAGAAGGAAAATAAATCACCGGAATAGTGCACAGGGCCAACACAAACCTAGTGTCCT